AATACGATGTGATTCTATCAATACGATGTGATTCTATTGATAGAATCACATGAACATGTTTCAGTGTTCACAACTTGGGTACTTTTTGTCGTTTCTGAACAAACTCTCTTATGACCTTTTATAGCTGTTATCATACCGGCTGCACCTTTTCTGTAATAATTAGTGTTTTTGCTGCTATTAAATTTGCACATGTAATGCGTGAGATCAGGTCAGAACTTGGGGGGGGGGACATTTTCTCACTAAACTCCATCAAAGTGGAACAGCAGCATCTGAAACTATCTACTGTCATTACTTTGGGACAATTCAAATGTCCTTGAAGACAAAAAGCTAATAATTGTGTATCATCACCAATTTAACTAAGTCAAATTTATTAATTACAGTTTCTCATTTATTTATTTTTTTTGTTTTGTTTTATCTTTGGTAAATGAGATCTTGGATCTCAATGAGAAAACCTGTATGAATAAAAGTAAAATAAAAACAAGATGAAGTTCCAATTCATCCATCCATTTCTCAGTCGATCCCACTGTCGCTCGGCAACAAGATACCTGAACTCTGAACTCTTTTGCTTGAGGCGGAGTCTGGACGAGGTCAAGCCCAATCCCGGTTCTCCGTGCTACATCGAAGAGGCGTCTCAACCGCAACAGCTACACACTCCTGGTGGTGATCACCTAGAGGTGATTCAGTTCCCGATCAGAGCAATGCGATCTCTCGATGAGCCAATGCACCGCTCTGATTGTTCGGTACACTCCTCAAGGTTTTCAGCAGGAGCCTGTCACAGCAAACGGGGCCCTTTCAGATGTAACGTCTACATCCTCATCTGGGTTCTCCTGGAAGAGTGATGAGATCTCACAAACACCAGACCCTACCAGTCCACCTTCACCTTGTTTGGTTTCCCCAGATTTGCCTGGCAGCCGCCTCCACCACCGAATCACAGTCACTATCAAACATCCAACAGTAACAAAAACTTCTGATTGGGACCTGAGATGCTTTTCTTCCAAATTACATCCCACTAGATTCATCATTGCCCACAGAATACCATCTGGAGAGTCCAGCAAGTGTTCCGTTTGGAACATTAAGCACAGATAATAGTAGTCAGAGTCTTCCCTCCTTACAGAGCTCTTCACTTACAGGGAGATTTCCGATACTGAGCCCATGAAAAAAAGTGTGCAGAAACAACAAGCGGTTGCGGCAGTGGGCCTGATTTGTGCCATTTCTGAATTGAGGCTGCAGGCTGCACAAATGAGTTTATAAATTACAAACACATTTTTCTTTCAACGGTTATTACAGGAACGGTTCTATTTCACTTGCTCTTAATCATCCACAGAGGAGGTTTTGGTTGTTATGGATACAAAAAATGTCTATATATATAAAATGATTTCTCTGCGGTCCTGTATTTCTGTTCCCAGATGTCGCCAAAGCAGCTCACCTCAGGGACAACCTGGGGATGCTGGTTTGGATCCCCAGCAGCTGCCTGAACCAGACTCAGTGTAAGAGTTGTTAGCTCAGCTCATTTCAGCGCCTCACCAAGGCCGTCAGCGTCATGCTGCACGGACTAACGTTGTGTTGTGTTGCAGTGGACGAGTACATTGCCATCGCCAAAGAGAAACACGGCTACAACATGGAACAGGTGAATATTTATTGCAGTTTTCTCAGGCAGCATCGGCTTCTTGGTCCAATTAGGAGGAGTTCTAGAGGATTGTTATTAAATGTCGCCTCGAAACAGGAATTTCTTTATTTTCTCCAAGTGGACTGTCATAGAGAGACCATTTAATATTCAATGATTATTTTTCATTAGTCATATTACCTAATTTCCTTACAGTACTCTGTTGGTAGGATATACACTGAACAACAATATAAATGCCCCATGTCAAATATAGGCGATTTATGAACATTTTGGTTACGCAATATTTAGAGAAACTCAGTAACTCAGTAATTACCAATCTTTATATCAGTATTGATAACATTGTGGTATGGTCATTTGTAGCGGACTAACAGTCCTTTGAACATAATAGGGGTCAGGTTGAGAAATTAGATTTTGACCAAGTTGGCTTCTTGTAGCCAACTTCTCAGACTGTAACACATCAGACTGTTACGGACAGTCTGAGGTGTGATGTCCTGTTGTGCAGACCGTTAGTCTCATCAGCTGTGTATGTCGCTGGGATTAGCCGATCCCACAGATGAATGAGCAGGATGAGGCGATCTTGTGCTGGAGCCGTCACACGTGGCCAACGAGGATGAGGTAGATGTGCAGCAGTGCCAGTCTGTTGGAAATAAACTCTTAAATGGTCTGTGGTTCCATAATTGAGCAGTAGCTGCACAGTGAGACGTGCAGCTACTGCTCTGGTGGACATCCCTGCTTCCAACATACCAATGGCACGCTCCCTCGTAACTTGGACATCTGAGGCATCATGACTTGTGGCAAAATTTTACATTTTGGGTTGGCCTTTTATTGTCCCCAGATTGTCCAACTGTTGCTCATTTTGTCTGATCACCCACTGGACATGCCCCACCCATGCACTGAGTAAAAATACAACTCACTGAGTATTGCTCACTGACAGCAAGTTGGATTAAACATTATTCACAATCACAAGAAGTATGACTTATGCACAATAAAATGTCAGCAAATGCTCATTTGCAGTTGTTAACTCCAGATGGTGACAATATTTGACATGAAGCATTTAATATTTTTGTTCAGTATAGAAAATGACATTGAACTGTTGGGTATAAAATGTGTATGAAATGTTTCCCTGGATGGTACAAACTGAATCGGGTTGGTACAACATGTCCCCTCTGTGGGTACAAACTGACCAATTTCTGTACGGTAGGCTGAGTTGGTACAAAATGTCCCTCTGGTTGGGTAGAAACTGAGGCAGGGTGAAAAAGTATGTCTTGGGAGAGGGCTGCATGGTGATAAGCAATACATCAATTAATCGCATGATAAATCCAAACAAACGTAATCGTTTCCGTTTGCTTGATTTATTTATTTACTTATTGTTGTCTCCTTTTTTTCTCTCTCTTTTTGCCAAAAACTGTAACAAAAGCCTGCAGTCTCAGCCTGCTGTTTCTTTGAAGGACAGTTTAGTTTACAGAGACTTGAGGATTCATTTTATTTGTTGTTTCTGTTGTTTAATTTATTTTTGGGGGAATATTTAAAATGTTGTCCAGTTCCAGGTTCAAATGTTCAGTAGAAATGAAAGTTTGTTGATCTTTGAGAATGTGTGCTTGTTATATCGCTTGAAAATGGTGTCAAAACAACAATATTGTCATTTATCGCAACAACTTCTGGGATAATTTATTGCCCATCAAAATCTGTTATTGTGACATGACTAGGCTGGATTCCATGAGTCACATATGAAGGTACCAAATGATAAAGCCAAGTGACCAAAACCTCTTACAGAATTATTTAATACTTTATCTCACGCAGGTAAACAGACTAATATATGTAAGTCGTGTTTTGTTGCACGTTCCAACTCGCCTGACCCGGTCTCCTCTCCCCTCGACCCGCTCCAGGCTCTGGGGATGCTCTTCTGGCACAAGCACAACATCGAAAAGTCTCTGGCCGACCTGCCGAACTTCACTCCGTTTCCTGATGAGTGGACAGTGGAGGACAAGGTCTTGTTCGAGCAGGCCTTCAGCTTCCATGGGAAGAGCTTTCACCGCATCCAGCAGATGGTACTAGTACAACATCTTTACATTTGATTCATAAGTATAATATAACCCTCTTTATATTTATTAGGATTTTATTTGTATGTCTTTTTAACAAAGGGATTCCCTTGTTCATAGATAAATACAACCTCAGATAAACTCTTACGTAGCAAATAAAGAGCAGTTTACTCTTGCTGTTTCCATAGTAATAAGAGTATGACTTGGACTAAGTGATGATCAGTAAATGAACAAAAAAGTCAACCATAATCCTTGTGGAGATTTGATCCTCTTTCAAATTTAGGTTTTCCAATTTTTAAAAATAAGAATATTTTGATACTCATTCAGTGTATTCATCAATTTTTGGGGGAAAAGTTCAATTTAATTTCTGTGGCCAGACATCAGTCTGACCGCTGGCTCTCCTGTTTCAATCGAGAAAACACTTTAATAGGACCGGCCTGATGAAGCTAGACTTCACTCTCCAATGGAAGAACATTTAAGAACGAGTAAGAAACACAGAAATAAAGATCTGTGTGTCTGGAAAAAGAGAAAAAAATGTTACAGAGCTATTTGTAAAGTTGTGGAACCCCAGAGAACTACAGTGAGAATCATTATTCACCAACTGCAGTGACCTGTCCAAGAGGTCACCAAAGGACCCACAACAAAGTCCAGAGACCTGCAGACTTCACTTGTCTCAGTTAAGATCAAAGTTCATGACTCCACCTTAAGAAAGAGAAACTGGACATAAATGACCCAGACAACCACCGCTGAGTTTGTCTCGGTTTTCTTAGAAGACATCTTGATGAGTATCAAGATGTTTTTGGATCTAGAGTAGAACAATCAGAAAAGGAACAAACAGTAAGACATGGTGGTGGCAGAGTGATGGTCTGGGTCTGCTGTGCTGCCAGACGGCTTGGAGGACTGTCTGTCTTTCCCTTCGCTTTCTGTCTACTGCTGAATAAAGGCCACTGATGCCACAGACATAAAAAGCCCAAACCAGATGGTTCGTTCTCAATAACTTTCCAGTGTGGCTGAAACACATGAATTCTGTAAATGTGAGTTGGGAGAAAGTTCCTCCACTGTGCTGTTAAACACTCACTGCCAGTAATTGCAAGCATTAGATTGTAATTGTTGCTGCTAAGGGTGGAACAGAACAGTTCCCCATTTTCTTCCAGTAATCTGACATCAGCTTGTGGGAAAGTTATGTCCAAAAACAGGCCTCTGTCTCCATGGAAACACCCTGTCTGTCGCTTCTTCTGGTTATTCCCAGGCTAAAAGAAATAAATATGGATATTTAATTCTCAACTAACTGAACAATTAAAGGATTGTGTAGAAACAAAAAGGAAACAACATCACAATAATTTTGGAAGTGGTCATTTATGATGGTTTCCTCTTAGGAAATAAATGCACGTGTTGCAAAATACATGCAGACATTGATCTTTTGTCCTCGTATTATTCCTCTAAAGCACACACATCAAACCGAAGGCCCCAATCCGGCCTCTTCATGTTCAAGACTACAGACGGATGCATAAATAGAAGTTTCAAGATACCATTTGTGTGTTAAAATGTTATTTCTTGACTTAAATCAAATCAGTTTTTATCTCTATGCTGCGGCATCGTGTCAGTCAGTCGCTCCAGTTTCTGTGATTCTGCAATCGCCGAAATTTATGCAAAACTAAACAAATCCAAAGACTCTTGCATGCTGCTAACACTAATAACTTTATATAAAGTTTTTTCAAACAAGGTTCTGAACAGTTACAAGGAAAAGAAAACCAGAGCACATTGATACAGTTTATAATGCATCATTTGACTGCAAAAAATGGTTCAAAACATTGGGGTTAGGTTATACTAACATTTACCTGCAGGTGGCAGTATAACTTACTGCCTCAGTCATGTGAAAATGTGAAAAGATTTTAGCAATAAAAATCTCAAGAAGCATCATTTTATACAGACAGTTATTTATTAAGATATTGCCAGTTTCTTAATGGGCTTTGTCAATATATTAAGTAGCAAGTGGCCCTTTAAGAACATTGATGATTTTGATGTGTCCCAAAATGAAAGTGGGTTTGGCACCGGCGCTCTAAAGTTGATATTTTTGCTCTTTTTGTTTTGACGCTGCTATAAAAGCAAAGTGTTTGTGCTATGCTGTGATTCTAATTCTTCTGAGGGTGTTTTTGGATTTCTTTAAAGAATCTGACATCAGTTGTTTGGGAAACAGTCTGCAAATGGAGGGAAGTGATGAAGATAAGTACCAACATGTCCACACTGGTTTACTCTTAAAGCAGACTGCAAGATGCTAAAGGAAGTCTTTGGAAACCTTCAGATATCGGCAGCAGATCTCAAATCATTTGGACACCAAAACATTTTTGTTGATCATACCTGAAAAATTGATGCATAACATTCTAACTTAACTGAACACGCAGGCGGTCAACATCTGTATATCTGACTATTTTCAGTCTGTGTCTCGGCAGCTTTTCCCCTCGCCGGTATTGCATTGATCTATGAGTGACTGTGTTTTTGTAGCTGCCTGATAAGTCCATGGCCAGTCTGGTGCGTTTTTACTACTCCTGGAAGAAAAGTCGTAGTAAAACCAGCATGATGGACCGACAGACCCGGAAACAGAAGCGGGAGCATGGCGACAGGTGAGGAGACAACATGGCCGCGCCGCCCGCTGGCGGCGCCGACCCGGCCCGAGTGATAACTAGCTCTGTCTGCGCAGTGATGAAGAGGTGGAGAATGGGAACGAGCATCCTTCCAGCGACTCGGAGATGGACCTGAATAAAGACAAGAAGGAGGTAAGACGCAGTTCATGTTAACCGGCTGCTGGTTCATTCGTTGCTAACCGACTCCGCTTGTTGCAGCCGAGTTCTGGATCCGAGAAACCGGAAGTGAAACCGCCTCCTGGCCTGAAGGTGAGAACATTCAAGGCCCCCAAAAATCTGTTTTTATCTTGTTTTTCTTTTTGTAGTTTTCATAATAATAATGTTGTAGTTTCCTTATGTTATATTTATTTGAAGTATTGACTGTATCTTTTTGTGTTTATTGACTAAATGTGTGTGAATAAGTTATTTTCTCTTTGTTTAATCCTTGTTATTACCAAGATGAATTGACCTGTTCAGGGATAACAGATAAAAATCTCTTTTGTTTTTCTGGTCTTCTTGCTCAGATTATTTATTAATTACTTAATTCAGGTTTGATGGTGGTGGCCCCCCCTTGTGTATGAGAAACCAGTTGCTATGGCTGAGTAATTTTTTCAGAGTGAGGACAAAATGTTTATGGCATCTTAAGATCGATTTATATTCTTTATCATATTAGCGATGAGCATCGTTAGCATTACAGAGAAAGCTGATAATCATAAACTGTTGTCTGCTGGGAGTCAGATTAACTCCTTTGGCAAAAATTCATCAACTTGAAAATGTTCTTGTTTTAACAAGATTTTTAAAATAGTTTAAAAAAATGTTTTTTCCTTTAAGACCAAAAATATATTATTCCCTTTTAAATTAGAAAGGTTATAACAGCAACACGTCTTAGGATTTTTAACGTTGTCTTGAAGAAATGGAGTGAAAAGATTGAGAGTCATCATGACCCCATCGATTCCTTTTTAACAAGACACAATCTGCCAGAGGAGATTATTTTTACATTCTGATTTCACAAGAAACTTTCTCATTTAGAAAGTTTTGCATCTGAACATAACGTGTCACTGCTGCTGAATTGATTTCCAAGCCTCGGCATTGAAACGCATGAAAAGTAACTGTGAGTGCTCTTCATGCAGTAACAACTTCCACACTGAAGAATGTTGATGAGCGGCTGGGGACTTTTTAAAGCTGTCAGTCTCTCAAAAATTGTTTACTAGCTGATTTGTTTTATTTTTTTTTTAATTGCTGTTTTTATTCTGGTTTCTGGTTTCGTTGCTCAGAAACTCCATGTCACCTGTGAGGGGAGTTTGAATAAAAATGTGGTCAACTCCTTTAATTGCCTTTTTAGGAATGGGCGTCGGGATCATATTAGCTGATTGTTGGCATGTTAGCTCAGGTGCGTTGCTTCGGCTGCTTGCAGTCTGATGCTGACGGCGTCTCTGTGTGTGAGCAGACAGGAGGGAAGACGTCCCAGAGGATGAAGAAACGTCCTCCCAGAGGAATGTTCCTCAACCAGCAGGACGTGGTGTCTCTGTCCTCTTCCACGGCTCAGGGACTCACCAGACAGCTGGACAGTCAGCTGGTGTCCATAAAGAGACAGGTCTGCTGTGTTCCGGCTCTGTTCAAATGGCTTCGCTCTGCTTGTCTCTGTGCATTGTCTCTTTTCTGTCCTGCAGATTCAGACCATCAAGCAGACAAATAGTGCTCTGAAGGAGAAACTCAGCTCAGGAGTGGACGAGTTCAGGCATCCTGAGGTAACCGTAGCAACAGTAGTACAAATGGTTGAGTTTTGAATTGTTTCTTTAGCAAACATTTAGCGTTGCTGCTGGACATGTTGGTGAGCCGCTGTTTTTGTTTCAGGCAAATCAGAAGTTCAATAATCGCTGGACCACAGAGGAGCAGCTTCTGGCCGTCCAAGGTATCCAGCCAATCAGCTGGTAGCTTTCAGCTGCTTAACTCATCTCGCTAATTAACACCTGAATCCCTCCATCTAGCTATCAGGAAGTACGGCCGCGACTACCAGGCCATTTCAGATGTGATTGGCAACAAGTCGGTGGTGCAGGTGAAGAACTTTCTGGTGAACTACCGGCGAAGGTTTAACCTGGACGAGGTCCTGCAGGAGTGGGAGGCGGAGCATGAGATGGAGGGTGGAGACGTGAAAGCAGAGGAGGAGAAAATGATGGAGGACAACATGACGGCATGCGCAGCTGAAGATGAAGAGGCTGCTGGCAAGCAGAAGAAGGAGGTGAGATCCTAAACCTGGGTGCAGGTCCCAAAAACAGCACGAGATTCTCAACCTAACCCTAAAATGTTTCACCAATAAAAAATCTTTTTTCAATAAATCAATAACAATATGTATCATGATAGACATATGATCAATATCAGTAGATAATACAGCTGATATTAATTATTCGATTTATGAAATAATCACTGAACATCAATCCAGAGCTGCACAGTATTCTGGGAGATGTAGGCAGAGGAAAAGCTTATTTTATCAATTAGCCTTATCTGTGTTCAAAAAGCAACAGGTTTTTTTTGTTGAAAATCAGTCTGACTCAGTTCACCAGGAACAGATCTTTCTTTTCTGCTTCCTTACAACATGTCTTTTTTTTTTTTTTTTTTTTTTTTAGAAAATTCTCCAAAATTAATAAAAAAAACTTTCAACAATCAAACTCTTCTAATAGCTGAGCAGCTTTTTCCATGTTCCCACTGGGATTTTGACAGATGTTTTTTTGTTTATTTTTTTACTTTCAGTCAGAGCAAAACATGCTGGGAAATTTAAATGACCTTTGATGTAAATCAGGAGGAATTTATCATTTTGGGTTTAAATGTACATAATTTGCCACATTTACTTGGTTTTTGACTCGACGTAACAGCGGGAGAGTAAAGAAAGGATCGACGAAGCTCCGGACAGATGGCTTCTGTTTGTTTTTGATTTTTTGTTTTTGTCAAGCTTAAATATTTCAATTAATCAGATTTCTATATGTCATTTATACATAAGCCGTTTTCAATTATTTTCATCATTTGGAAAAAGCCTGTCCACACCATCATGGCCCCATGGGAAAAGCTGATCGCCCCTCTTGTTAAATGATGAATCAACTGTGTTTCACCACATTTTCTTGGTTCAGTCAGCATATAAATAGAGCAGCCCCACAACGATGGCCGGCATTAGAATCTGTCCTGAGTTCTGGATGGAAGTTCACATGTAGCTGCATCCGAGCAGACTGTGAGCTAAACACTAAACTGATTTGCTGACCCAACATGCATTGTTTCCAAGCTTCCGCCTCACAGAGCAGCCTGCCCCCGCCACACCCCTCTCTCAGCTCCTTCAGACTAGCCCGCAGCAATTAGCAAGCACCTGCTAGAACTACGTATCTGCTGAGCACATTACAGGAGCTACTTCTGAGAGCAACACTGGTAAAAATGTCGTTAAAGAATTCATAAAGGAGCCATGTTCCTGAAGGCAGAGTTTCAGAATGAGCAGTTGCTTCTTAAAGAGACAGATACCCAAATTCAAGGAGTCATATTTGATATACATAGAATATTTTTAACAATTGCAGGTAACATAGTAACTTCATTGTCTGGAAAATGCGTATTACTGCCCATTTAAGGAGTTAAACATTACTGAGACTCTGATCCTGTTTTGCAGCAACAATCTCAGAGCTTGTTGTTGATGAGAGGCTTTTATTTTGCAGGACTCATCTGTTCCGATGGACTCGGAGTGACCTCTAACCTCCCGAGAAACCAGCCTGACCCCCAGCCTCCTGGAGGATTGCTTTCTTTAGTCGTGTCTCTTTATTTTGGCCCTCTGTTTTTCAGTTTTGCTTCTGTTTGCGTATGTCACAAAGTCGTCCCCATCTTCTGTGGACCAATTCATACTTCAGCCATCAATTACAGTCAGAGGATTTTTTTTGTTTGTTTTGTCACATAACGTTTTGAATTGTTTCTATGTTTGTGTTTTGGGATCTGAGGTGCAGGAAGAATTGGATGAAGGTTGGGTTGTGTGGGGGTTGTCATGTCCTGATTAGCTTATTGCATTTTTAAAAGATTTTTTAGAGGAAAAAAAAATCCAGTAAAACCAAAGTTTATTAAGAAAATTGCGTGACTTCTATTTCACGGTTTATTTTTTCTTTTGGGATTAAAAGTTTAGTTTCGATAGTTACATATTTAATATGTCTTCATGAACTTATTTTTATTTTATCAATATTTTCTCCAAGTGAACTGAATTTATTTTTGTTGCACCATTCTCAGGAAAATATGATTCTTAATGAATGTGTGTGATAATTCTTTTTTCTTTCGTGTTTGTTTTTATGAATTTGCATCATAAAAATTCACAAATAAACATTTTCTGATTTCAGCTATGTGTTTTGTGTATTATTTTTTTTCCCAACTGCTTTTTAATTGTATCTAATCCAAATATTGGTCGTCACACTGAGGTCCCTCAGTGAAAAACTCGGTCACCGGAAATGTGCAATTAATCGTTTGTTCATTGCACAATTTTTAGCTTTTTAAATTAAAATGATCAAATTTTATAGTATTCTGATCAATAAAATCTATTAGTTTTTCAAAACTTAATTAGAAAACATGTTTAATTTTAGATTGATAAATAATTTTATTACTTCTACTTCTAAACTTCTCTAATTCTCTAAGGTCTGGTGAATTTGAACTATGGACCAAATTCTCATTCTAATCTTACAACTAATTTAGGAAAAAAATTAATCTGAATCCAACTTGGCACTGATCCAGCTCAGTCCCTGTTATTATGATCCAGTAAATCAGATTCTTCTGACACCAGGCCAGTTTCATTTACATAGAATCCAGATCAGTGAGTTTCAGTTGACCATGTGATATGTTGTCATAACAACCCACAAGTGCATAAATCTCTACAATTCATTGGAAAATTCTTCATTAAACTTAACCCACAATTAGATAAAAATCCCCAGTCTGCTGAACCTGCATCATAAGACATTATGTGGGTTCATGATGTAATGACTAATTTCTATAATGAAGGTTCGCCTGGCCTGCTACTGTAACAGAAGCAGAGAATCGTTATAAGCTTTTTTTTAAGACTAAATTTAGGTCTGATATCTAAATATAGAAACGTTTCCTAGAATACACCAACAGTTGAAAGCAGAAGTTTCCATATACATAATAAAAAAGGCACATACACATTGTCAATTGGCATAATTTCTTCAATTTGTTACTTCAAGGTTCATTTAAAATATATCACATCGATCATTATTTACACACAGGCGGAATTTAGACTACTAGACTACTGACCTGCGCTGCACAGTCTCGAACAAGAAGTGTTTCGATTTGAAAGGGAGAAACAGCGCCCCCTGTGGTGCAGTCTTGTCTCTCCCTGGAGCCTCCGGGAAAGCTGCGCCCCCTGACGGTATGCTCCTCGTCGGGCAACTGGGGGATTTCCTGAGCGGAAGCAGTGGAGGGGGTTTCCAGTGTGATCAGCCCAGGCCTCCCTGCTGGCTCTCTGAGGTGGACCCAGTAACTTCTCTCTCCGGGACTGACAGTACAGACCGAACCCAGAGAAGTGCCGAGCGGAACTGGACCATGAGGAGTCCGCCTGAAGCCTGGAGGCTCCACGGCAGCGTCAGCGGAACGGCAACGGTTTGAATCCGCAGTAAATCCGCCGAGCTGTAGCCTGCCGAGGAGACTGATGTGAGTTCACACACACACACGCACACACACACACATTCACACACACACACACATACATTCAGTACATCACTAAGAGTGGAGGGACATTTAGGCTCGCGGACCAGTAATAACCAGTCTGGTCACGGCTGTGTGTGTGTGAGAGAGAGAGAGTGTGTGTGTTCTGATGGTTTTGATAAATGGACCTTCTATTGACAAGAACAGCGGCGAAGCTGAAGAAGCTAGGCGCTCGCTAGCATTAGCAGTCCGTGTGTTTACATCCGCTGTCTGGTTCTAAATGACAAATACATCAGTAATGTGAGCGATGAGTGTCCGAAACACCGCGATACGGCGAGGGGCCAGCGAAGGATCGCCTCCTGTTGGCGTTTTTCATTTATTCTCCCCGTTGGACTGCGTGTCTCTGTGTGTGTGGAGGCTTGTCGGATGAAGAGAGGATGACTCCTGGGTCAGATGTCAGCGTTGTAAGGTCATGTTGTTGGGTGATGAACGCGTGCTTGGTGAGCGGCTGTTCGCGGTGATGAGATGTCAGAAGATGTCACCTACTGTGAGTCACAGACTGGAAGTCAGAACTGTTCCCAGAAACAGCAGGGATGTTCCACAGCTTCATTTCAGAGAACAGAGGGAGCCGATGACAGCAGGCTGAGGTGATCTACTGCCCGTGTCTTTTTAGAGACGGATCGGTTAATCGCCCATAAATCGGTCGGTTAACCGATTTATAATTAATGGACCATAAATCAGATTTTTTATTTTCTTTTGCTATTTTTCTGAGAAAAAGCAAAAATCCAGATTTTTGTTTTTGTCTTGGTTTTCTTATTTGTTAAATTCATGAAAAAGAACTACCACGATTTTCCATCTGTAACCATATCAACCAGCAGCAGGACACATTTGTAATTCCTTCTTTTTTTGTTGTTGTTTGATTCGACAGAAAGTTTTCATTCTTTATGTGAAGGCATTCAGGATGAAAAGAACTACCACAATTTTCTGATTCCGATAAAGAATCGGAATCAGCAGATCAATGCCAAATATGGCTCATGGGCCAGGAAAGGCCTGACCGGTGCATTTCTGAACTGAACAGTTTTTGGAGGTTTGGTTGAGAAACGACTCCGATCCATCAGGAGGAACGGATCGACTCTGCTGGACAGGTTTCTGTTGTTAACACAAGCAGGACTGGGAGTGTTTAGATGGACGGAACAAAATACAGACTGATGCGATAAAATTTCCAATCATTGGCTGGTAACATCAGGAAATGGAATAATGTTATCCCAATCTATTGGAATAAATGTTAGGGCAACCTATTGTTCAAACGCTCTCGTTGTATTTCAACCCATAAACACCTGACTTGATGAATGATGAATTATCACATTTTAGGAGAAATTCAGGCATCTGATTAATAATGATCTATTAAAGACACTGTCGAGATTCTGGTTGTTTTCTTGGCAGCTTTGATAATAAACAGAATTTTTGAGAATGTTCTAAGAACTGTGAGAAGTTTTCCCTTGATTTGTCTGTGATCTGATGCGATGTGCTGAGAGATGTGTAATTCTGATTCTTTAAGCGTATCAAATCTAAGATACGCTTACAAACGCAGTGTGCTAATGTTTAGGAACGTATAGTTTGCTGGAGGGGTGGGCGCTTGTGGAATCGTTTATTATTTGTCGTGAAAAATTTCCCATCATAAGAATTTTGATTTATTTATTCTCCATAAATTTCAATCGATAAAAAAACGACTGACTTGTTGTTTTGTTTGAAAATGTTATTTTCACTATTTGCTCCACGAAAGCATCAACAAAAGCCAGTAAATTTGAAAGTATGATTAGACACGATCACAGTGTGCGGTTTAAATGACACTTCTGTTGTTAAAGAAGACTGTTTCAAATAGGAATGTTTGTATGAACAGTGTTAGTGTTTGTGATGCTATGAATGCCATAACATGCAGCAGTCACAGCCACATGGCTGGCTAAAAAAAAAAAAAAAAGCTTTATCAATATCACAATAGTACTGCAAAAAAAGAAAAAACTCCTGATAAAATTACAAGATGATGTCGTCTGCTTTGCTGTATAAATGAGGATGAGTTTCACTCTCAGCAATGGAACCTGTAACAAAGTAGCTGCAGAAAATGTTTCTGTCGTTTATCTGTTGTAGATTTGGGGAAGAGGAAAATGATTTTGGGAGGAAACCTGACAAAAAACACGTAACTGGGTATTGGCCATTTGAAATGTGATCGGTGCATCACGCATAACATGAAACACGTTCCTTATGGCTGAGCTGTTTGTGCCTTTTGTCTCTATCTCTGCTGCTTTATGTTATTTGCCCTCACTGTGGGGCAGGGGGGTAGAAAACGCCCCAACTTGCTCATGTTTATCTGAACCAGTAAACCAGATCTAGCATTTCCAGATACTTGCTGCTGAAATCATCTCTGGACTCCAGGTGTCATTAATAACTGCTCTGAGCTGTGAGTTGTTTCGGAGCTTCGTTTGGCTCAGCATTGAGACCTTTCAGCTTTCTAACTTTTGAACTTTCTGATGTCTGAAAGGACGCTGAGTCAAACTGGTCGACTTATGCGATTGGTTGATCTGTTTGTGTTGACAACCCCATCGGGCCTGGTACCCACTGCCATGGTCTCATTAACAAATTCAGACACCGCTGCTTTTCTTTTGCAACTGTAACAGCTGATCTGAGTTCAGGAAAACCCCGTTCAAGGAACCGTTCCACTTTCTCTTTCTGCAAACAGAGTGCTCAGTCATGGTGTTGTGTCTGATTAAACTAAACTCTCTTACACTCTGCAAGTTTATTCTTAGCGTGTCCTTGAATTCATTTCTTAATATGAAACACAAATTTTTTAACGACAACAATCATTGCACAACCTCTCTGTGAAAAAATCCTCCCAGAAACACTCAGGAATATTCAAGGCTTTTCTTTGGTCATTTTGGAGTTTCATTCTGCCACTGTGTCACGCTCACAGAGATAGAATGTGCTTGTGTTGCTAATGGAATCAATGGAAAAGCCCCTAACATCCCCACAGTTCAGCCCTGACAGGAAGTGTGCACTGTTTGTATACGTGTGTGTGCGTGCGTGTGTGTGTGTCTGTTTTATAGAGTTCAATGGTACTTGCTTGCACACACCCTTACTGTTCTGTACTTTTCTTGAAAATGCATCTGAACTGGGACATTTATGGTTTGAACGAGTTAAGTTACTGATGGTTTGTAGATTTTTACAAAAAAAAAACAAGAAAAAAAAAACCAAATGCTTTGTTGAAACTTCAGATATTAAAAAAACAAACAAACAAAAAGAAAATCAAAAAAGCAGCAGGAAAAGAAACTGCATAAGCTGCCAGGTGGCCCACAGGTCGTCACCTTTATGTCTGCCTTACATTCTTTCATGTCTCTACATGCACACATGAAGTGATCTGTCACCATCTGCTCTCAGTCTGCTGTGAGGAACGGTGGTGACTTTGGTTTTGATCAGGAGCCATAATCTCTTATTTCATAAAAACAAAATGCCCCAACTGGGGAACAAACCGCAATGGAGCCAGCATGAGTGACAATAAGCAATTAATGAGTTCATCACATGATAAACTGAAACGAGCTTGATCATTTCAAGTCTGGTTTATTTATGTTTCAAAAGTATTCACATTCACATTTCAAATATGTATATGCATGTAAATAAATAGGTAACTATTTATTTGAAAAGGAGTTACTCTTCCCCGCTGTCCTTCATTCTCCTATATGTTTTATTTTTGACTGTAAAAATAAGAAAAACATTCTGATTATATTTTTTGAAGGGCAGTTTTGTCTACTTTATGATCCATTTTATTTATGGTTTTGATTGTGTTGGATTTCAATTTCCTTTTTTCATTTATTCTTTATGGTTGTCATATTTATTTTGCTTATTTAAAATATTTTGCAATTCCAGTGTGGAGTGTTCGGTACAAAATGAGAGTTTCTTAGTTTTTGAGAGGATGAACTTGTATCACTACGTTATTGTGAATGTGTCACTTGAAAATGGTCTCAAAACAACAATATTATCGTTTATAGCAATAAGTCGTGGGACAATTTATCACCAAGAATTTTTTTTTAATTTTTTAAATTTTTTTATCGGAAGCAGTCTAATCATGCAACATTGCAGCTTTCAAAAAATAAAAAAAACACATAAAGGTCCACAGTTAGTTAAAATACTACCAACATATGTCCATGTGTATTGCCATTCACATTCACATCAAACTCAGGTGCTGCAATAAAGATAATAATAATTATTATTAACTATTCAGTGATAAATTAAAATCTGCAATATAAAGCACATTAAAGAAAGATTAGCAGCTTTGTGGATCTTTCCGCTGAGTAGACTTCCCCTCCATCCTGTTGCTCTGCAGCTGTCGTACCACACTGTGCTGCAGTTGAACACCTGTAGGAGGAGTTCAGTGTGTTATACCCCAACCCCAATCTTTTTTTTAACCTACTTAGAAAATGCAGCTGTTGATTAGCCTTCATCCACTTCCTGCCTCTCTGCCTACTCCATCCTCCCATTAATGAGCCCTGCTACTGCTGCGTCATCGGACTTCAGACTTCACTGCCCGCCTGCCACCATGGTGGGTTTGGTAGTCATGTGTCAGCAGTGCATAGAGCAGTGAGGAAACCCAGTGATGAGGTTGATGGGTGAGGTTGGGGGGTTGTTGGTCTCTGCAATCCGTAGTCTTGTCGGGTCAGGAAGTCTAATTTCCAGTTGGAGGCTGAAGGGTTCAGTTCACCAGTGTTTGTTGGAGGATTGTGTTAAAGGTGGAGCTGGAGCTCCAAAACGGCAACCTCACCCAGTTTTTCAGGTGAAAGAGCGACTGATGAGTCACAGCTCAGTAACTGTTGTGGTTCTGGCTTCAGGCTTCCTGGTGAGTGTCTATTGCAGTGACAGTGGACATCACCAGCCTCTCAGAACACTTCATTACTGCTGCAGTGAAGGGCCAGTAGTCATTTAGTCAGGGGACTGTCTGGGGCCTCAGCACTGGAAAGGTAAAACACTTTGAGGTGTGGAACATATCTGTGAGCAGAGAGCTGATGGTCACAATGCTTCAGAACCGGACCAAACCCCCGTCAATGCCTGCAGCTTCATGGGGTTTATTTCCTATAGTGCCCTTCTTCCCTCAGCCACCTTCACAGAGGGAGGAGGTTGTTAGGTGAATGTGGGAGTCTGGAGGTAAACATGCTATTAGTCCCTTCAACGTGTCTGAGTGTCTCTGCACAAATTGGGTCACTTTGTTCCTTCACTATTTTCTCCACACTCTGTGGTCTCTTTGCAGCCTCTTTATTCCTTTCTCATGATGTCTTTGTGCCCGTCTCGTTCCCTTCGTTTGGTCTTTTCATACTCGTTCCCTCTTGTGGATTTTTTATTCCCTGTTTGTGGTTTTCTTGTACTCTTTCTGTGGTCTCTCTTTTCCTTGTTACAGTGTTTTTTATACTCAAACTGTGGTCATTTTTTGCTTGGTTGTGGTCTCTCTGTTCCCTTGCTGGGGTCTCTCTGTTCCCTTGCTGTGGTCTCTTTGTTCCCTTGCTGTGGTCTCTCTGTTCCCTTGCTGTGGTCTCTTTGTTCCCTTGCTGTGGTCTCTCTGTTCCCTTGCTGTGGTCTCTCTGTTCCCTTGCTGTGGTCTCTCTGTTCCCTTGTTGTGGTCTCTCTGTTCCCTTGCTGTGGTCTCTCTGTTCCCTTGCTGTGGTCTCTTTGTTCCCTTGCTGTGGTCTCTCTGTTCCCTTGCTGTGGTCTCTCTGTTCCCTTGCTGTGGTCTCTCTGTTCCCTTGCTGTGGTCTCTCTGTTCCCTTGCTGTGGTCTCCGTTCCCTTGCTGTGGTCTCCGTTCCCTTTGTGGTCTCTCCGTTCCCTTGTTGTGGTCTCTCCGTTCCCTTGCTGTGGTCTCTCGTTCCCTTGCTGTGGTCTCTCCGTTCCCTTGCTGCGGTCTCTCCGTTCCCTTTGCTGTGGTCTCTGTTCCCTTGCTGTGGTCT